ACGATTTAATTATTATGATAGGCCTATTCTAATTATCAATCGATAATGGTGATGATTATGATGATGATGATGGTGTGGATGATGATAATTAAGAGGATGAAGAGATTAAAAAATATGATGGCATGCTAGTTACCAAACCATAAATAAAATACGTTTAAAATAATTTCACTCTATCCTACCTCACCCCCCACCCCACAACACTGGCTCCTTCCCCCTCCCCTCTGCACATTTTCCTCTGGACACATTTAAATTCCTTATTTTATAATGTCAGAGTATACTAGCCTTCGATTTTTACACTAACCTTTGGATTTCATACATATACTTCGGTTTTTAAAAATTAAATAGAAGAATTTGCGGTTTCAACTATTTTAATATTTTTAAATTTTAGTTTTCACTTGTTTTTGGAGCAAGATTTTTATAAAATATATGTTATAAATCCATAGATTAAATTTCATATACATACATTTCAATAAATTAATAATTAATGCATGTTTATAAACACTTTTGCAGATAATGCCCGATTTCAAAAGTATTTATCTATATTCATAGTTATAAATACTCTGAATTTACTCTCCATTTTGGCCCCCTTAATAATAAAATTAATCAATGAAAAGTATGTGGCAAATTTTTTAATAATATATCTAAGCAAACCATAGTTTAACAAATTTGAAATCATTTGTACTTTTCTTGGGAAAAACGCATTTTGCTAATTTACTCAAAACTATGATTTTGTTACTTAATGCCTTTTCTCAGAGCAGGGCACAGTAAGTGACCAGCCCAAAAAAGTGAGACATTTGCGAATGGTCCAGAGGAAAAGAACTCAACCTGAAATGAAAATTCTAAACTAGAGAACCCATCATCGTTCACATGATAAAAATAATAAATTGATGAAAAGAGTGAAATTCAAGTTGTTTACACCCTTTTTACATTTTTGGGTCAACTTGTACATTCAGTATTAAAGGTGATGAAGGCAGAGGACAAGACCAAAATTGCTTTCGATAATACAGTGTTCTATAGTCTCGTGCCTTGTTGTCATAATTCTTTGTTTCATTGACTGCTATATGATTTGAAGAACACAAGTGGATTTACTATTATATATATATGTATTCCATTAACACTAAATATGAAAGACTATTGAGTGCGTATCACAGTCTACAGGATGTACAGAGACCCTCTCAATAATTTATCATAAAACTATACTTTAAAAGGTTCCAATTTGCGAAACACATTTCCTTGATTTCTAGGACAGTAGAATATTCATTATCTTATATAAATTATATATATATATATATATATGTATGTATGTAGAATACTCATTATAATATATATATATATATATATATACATA